CCTTAAAATGTACAGATGAAGTTAGCATATAAAACAGCCAACTTTTAATTGTTTTTTTTGGTATTTTTTTAAATTTGAAGACATTGCTGGTCTTATGTTATGCAAACTTCACGGGATCATGGTTTTCCTTTACTCCAGACCAGTAGTGTGGGAGCAATATCCAAATTCATTTGGCTTTCTATACTCTCTCTATTCGTCACTGAAAAATTGCATATCAATTTTTCAGCTGAAAAACAGGCTAGAGATAAGTCATAAGTAACTTCAAATATCAAAACCTTTCATTGTTACTCAGTGAGAGTGATGGTGGATACAAGGACAAATTCTACTATAAATAATCTAAGATTTATGTGAAGAACTCATTAATTCACTAACACTGGATTAAGATGGTTTCATTTTCAGTGGGTGTCTCTTTAAATACATTGCAGTTGTATTTGATTCTGATGCCTGAATCAGTGTGTGCCATTAGATGAAAAACAATAACAGGAATTTATTTTATATTATGTAGTATAGGCAAAGGGGCTATATTTACTGGAATAAAAAGTCATTCCTTGTTCGCAATATCAAATCAGTTCTATGCGTTTAGTATCATAACATTTAGGGATGTAATGTCATTCCATTTATGAAGATATATTTGCGTTGTTCCTCACTTGGTGTATTTGTTAGCTTAATGTGATTAATTCCTTCAGACGAGCAGCTTTTAGGAATATTGGAGCTTTGTCTGTGGTCACAGGCCTTTGATGCTGTTTTCCCAGCTTGTCAATTCTTGAATCCCTAGCCTTGTCTCCTTTCCAAATTCTTGGATTGCCTATGGACCACCCCCCGACCATGCACCGGATTCGGTGAGTGCATGTGTATTGATATCCTGACCCAGCTTCTGACCTGAGCTTACTTTGCCTCAACCTGCTTTTTGTTCCTTTACTCCAGTTTGGGTCTGACGGGCTCGCTAATGTTTGTCTCTTTCCCAGTCTTTTAATAAATTCCAGGCATCTTGGTCTTGGCTTTAGATCTTAATTTTTGGTGATTCTTGAATTCTGTATGACATTTAATTTTGTAATTTGATCTTCTGTTATAGACATCCCTTTGGGTCAGTATTTCTCAATTTATTCAGCCTGCTTGTTGCTTTTTATAATCCATTATTGGCTTTTAACCAACCCAGTGCGGCCTGTATTGCCGCAGGCCATACCATGGTTAGAAGCCGATTATGAACTTGATTTTATAGTTTTCTGTCCCTCAGTAATTCCTAGGTTCTTAGAACAAACATTTTAGGTTAGGTTCTTGAACCTGTGAGATAGGATTGACAAGTGACAGATTATTAAAATGTGATACTTCTATGTGGGATTTCCTTTCATGTTTGAGGTCTAGATCTTGGAAGGAGTTCTAGGCCCTAACCCATGCTCAATGCTGGCAGCGCTGCCCATAGGAAAAGATGTATTCTGCGTGTCCTGCCTAGAGTAGTTAGAGAAGATGTAGATGATGATACTGAAAGTCAGAGAAGATTGATATAAAAGGCAAGGGCAATCTTGTTTTTGTTAAATCCCCAGATTTCTCTCAGTGGCCTGCACAGAGCAGTAATGCATATTGTTTGAAATCACTAATAGTGTGCTGATAAAATCTTCTCCTGCTTCCTTCTCAGATGGAAACAGCCAGGTGTATATTAATTTAACTTCTTGTAGGCCTAGGCTAGAACAAAAATATATTTCCTGGCAAATTGTTTGCTGTTAAAAAGCTGAAAACATAACTACTAAGGAGAAGTGGACATAGAGACAACAATGAGAGATAAAGGACTTGGAGAAATAATTCTAAGCAGCCTAGTGGTTAAGAATGAACCTGTCTTGGGGAATTTTGGGCAAGTTCTTTTCCCTCTCTGTGCCTCAGTTTCTGTCTTTCTTTGTGGAATGAAGATAATAAAAGCATTTCGTAGATTCTTGTGAGGTTTAAATGACAAAATGTAAATAAAGTGCTTAGAACACTTCTCAGCATACGCATCATTTGATCAGTGTGACACCCTACATCCTGCAGACTTCAGGTCATTAATTTGAAATTTGATTCAGATGTATATCATTAGCAGCCTTAAAGGGCAAAAATGGCAGTGGAGGTTGTGTGTAGGGAAGTTGAAATTGTCAATACATTTCTTTTGCCAACGGCTTAAGGTAGTTGGGCTTTATGGGTTACCTGATCACATAATAAATTGAAGTGTTCATTTAGTCACTTAGCTTTTTCATTAGAGCTAGATTCTTAGCTCATCTTGATAAATATTTAGTAAGAACCTTTGATAAATCACTTTTAGAATTTGAAGTGATATTGTTTAAATGTGTCAGACCAGACAATAATGTACATGTAGGGAAAAATAATCTACTGATTTTCCAGTTTTTTGGAGTCTTTGAGCACAGGTGTTTATAATCTGTAGCGTGTATAGTTTGCTAAGAATAATGGAGTATGGATTGATAAGTTGCCTCTACTTTTCCTAAAATGAGACAAAAAGAAGGGATTTGAAAGCCTGTAGAAAATATTATGTTTTTCTTTCTCTCTGCTAGTGTTCCATTTGATTTTTCTCATAGCAGTACAATTTCAAAGCCTATAAACAAAATATTTAATCACATGATATTTTTGGACAGCTTTTTCAGGTATATTGCTTTCTAAGATTTGCAGGGGTTGTCATGAACAGATGTGCAGTTTGCTCACTGTACAAGTCAAGGTGGTAAATAAAGCCTGAAACTCAGACTCTGCTTTCACTTCTGAAAGAATGTGTCTTGTACGGGGCTGAGTGCGCACCGATGGGGTGGGTGTCTTTTTTCTCAATGAATTTGCACAAAGTTATCCTATGGGCCAACAGCAGCCCTGAATATTTGGGTCTGACATTCATCTAATGCACAGGTGACAATAAGCATTAGATAATATAACTGAATTCTCTATCGCAGGTGTGTTGTGCCCTAGAGTTATTCAATGGCAGTTATAATTGTTCTACAGAGCTGCTTTTACAGAAGGATATGGCCTGTGCTTACAGTCATCCTTTGATTCTTTGGGAAAACAACTCTTCTTAGACATCTCATTATTCTCCTGTAATTAACTTGACCAAATGAAGACGAACTGTGCAGTTTTAATCACGACTAGAAGTCAGTATTGTAATGGAGACCTGGAGTTGAAGGTTAACATCAGCTTATTTCTCTCTATTGCTTTAGATTGATAAGATATTCAAAAAAATTTATAACAAAGATCCTAGTAGAGTGTTAAGAGAAAAAGTCAGATTATAAGCGGTTAATGAGTGATTTGTTTGTGAGAAAATGGAAATCATCTATGTATGCTTTTTTTACAAACAAGAGAAACAAAGGGAATTTAGTCAAATATGGCGGAATGATTTTTTTAAGTTCAAACTTTCTACAAGGAGTGGGAATCCTATAGTTTCCTTTTCTTTAATTGTGAATATGCCAAGATTTCTGGCCCTTTTGTATACCAATGCTGGGGTTCAAATTCTGGCTTACTATTTGGTGGTTGTGTATTTACTTTGTGCCTTGTTTTCCCAAATAATAAAATGATCGTGATAATTGTAGATACCATATAGATTTTTGTGAGGTTTAAATATCATAATGTACAGAAAGAAATAAGAACAATGCTGGTTACAATGTAAACGCTCAACATGTGAGCTATTATTCTTATTTTTATAATTATTTATTTATTCTTTCATTTTTAAAATAAAATAAGTGCTTATTTTAATATTTTATTACCATTTCCCATAATAAGATAATAGAAATATATATATTTTTTCACTTTTGTGGTACATTCAATTTAATGATAATTATGGAGTTTTGGGAGTTTTACATAACAAATGGATAAATGTGTGACACATAACTCCCCTAGAATTCATTCTTTAAAAGGAAGTTATTACATTATCATTACCTTTACCATAATCAATTAATAATTTATAATGGCGTATATTCTACCAGTGCTGGTCTGTTTTTGGTTGTAGTTTTAGAGATTTTCTAAAGCTATATCAATATTAGTATTTTTAAATGATCTAGTGGTCAATTAAACAATTTTGGGGAGTTAAACAATGGTTGCCTAAAACTACATTATAGCCTATCAAAAACGTAAATATTTATTCTATTCAGACCAACCTTTGATTGAGTGACTATATACCATGTTGTCCCTGGGCAAGACCTCAGACACAGGTCTGTTGGGCTTCTAAGCCTTTACTATTCTTCCTAGGCCCCAACAGACTGGTTGTTCATGAGCCATAAGAACAAAAATCTAAATAAGACAATTGTCATTATTTTGGATTAGTGAAATATCATGTTGCTTTTTCTCATAGACATCATGCCTAGAAAAGCACTATTATGTACTTTTCCTTGTAATACTGTTTACATTTTCCAATATGCTTGTTAAATGTGCTGGAGAAACTCAGGTTGCCATGGACTAGTATTAATTGTATTGGATGAAGGCTTTGAATATGAACACTTTACCTGTGTTTGGTTTCTAGAGTCCTTATTTAGCCAGCTAAAAATTAGGTAATGCAAAAAATTTTACCTAAGGAAATTACATGTTCCTGTTCTCTAGATGGTAGCCTGTGTGGACATGCTTTAAGTAATTAAAATCAAGTTAGAGAATGTTATATAGGACAGAGTGCTGTGTTTGTAGTCCAGACTGGGCATCTAATAAGTTGTGTGATTTAGGGCAAATTGGATCTCTTTATTGGGTCTAGTTATTCTTTGAATAAATGGGTGAGACTAAATTAGAGTGTTCAAACTGTATCTTCCTAGTCACACAGTCCTGCATTTATTTTTTTTCATCCAAATACTATCAGTCACTAGAAAAGAAAATAAAGACAATCCCTGAATTAGAAGAGCTGTTCAGGTCCCCCTGTCTTTAAATTCTAAGTGCTCTAAATAAATTATTTAATTCCTTAGCAATTTCTTCAGTATCTTATCTAAAAAGGGAGGAAACATAAATTTCTACCGTGAACATGGTTTTCTCCAAAAATATCTTCTGATTATTTTCCTTATTAGCTTTTGCTGTTAGTCCTGTCTTTCGTGAAGCTGGATATCCAGTGGGAGTTTCACACCTTACATTACAAGGTATATCTTTTTCTGTTCTTTTATATTAAATTCTTTGTGTTTTTTTGTATAAATGTGTTTCTTTAATGTGTTTCTCATTACGTAACACGTGTGTGACAATATGTAGTTTAGTCATACATTTCATCCAACTTGTCAATCTCTGCCTGTTTAATTGGCATATTGAGTTCATTTACATTTAATATAGTTATTGATCTATTTTGGTTTAAGATTATGTTAGTGATTCATTTCTGTCTGCCGTGTCTGCTTTTGTTCTGTCCATGTCTTTTAAATGCAGTTGTTTATTATAGAAATCTACGTTTAATAAAGTGATGTGATGAAAAATAAAGATAAAAAGTTTTCCTATATATAGCTTTCTTATGTATAGGCAAAAAAAATTTGAAATTTTGCTGTATAAATTTCCATACACTATAGCCTTAAACATTTTAGACGTCTATGAAGAATGCTAACAATAAGTATTTGAGAACCACATGGATAACACTATAAAAATATGACTAGATACCTAACACAAGACTTTACCAAATGAAGAGACATACCCTGTTCCCAGAATGGAAAAGTAAAGATGAAGAAAAGATGTTGATTATCAACTTAACATATACATACAGGGTCGCACAATTATAATAGAGTTAAAGTCTGACAAGATTATTTTAAATTTAATCTGAAAGTGGAAATAGATGAAAAGAAGGTTAGTGAGCACTCATTGTTTGCTGACTATTGCATTCATTATCTAATTTAATAGTTTAAATATATTTTTTTTTTTTAAAGATTTTATTTTTTCCTTTTCCTCCCCAAAGCCCCCCCCGGTACATAGTTGTATGTTCTTCGTTATGGGTCCTTCTAGTTGTGGTATGTGGGATGCCGCCTCAGCGTGGTTTGATGAGCAGTGTCATGTCCGCGCCCAGGATTTGAACCAACGAAACACTGGGCCGCCTGCAGTGGAGCGCGCGAACTTAACCACTTGGCCACGGGGCCAGCCCCAATAGTTTAAATATTTTTAAAGAAGTAATTTTGGTACAAGAATAGTCAGACAAATCATTAGAATAGATAACCCAGAAACAGACCCTAGTATGTGTGTGTGTATATATATATTTTATTATATAACCTAATTATATAATAAAATAGATGACTCAAATATAGAGATTGATGTATTTAAAAATTTTTCCTCTAGGGGCTGGCCTGGTAGTGTAGTGGTTAAGTTTGCGCGCTCCACTTCAGTGGCCTGGGATTTGCTGGTTTGGATCCTGGGTGCAGAACTACACACCGCTCATCAGGCCATGCTCTGGTGTCATCCCACCTACAAAAAAGAGGAAGATTGGCACAGATGTTAGCTTAGCAACAATCCTCCTCAAGCAAAAAGAGGAAGATTGGCAACAGATGTTAGCTCAGGGCCAATCTTCCTCACCAAAAAAAAATTAAAAAAAATAAACCCCAAACACCCAGGTATTCCTCTGATTGTTTGTTAGACATTTCTATAAAAATCCATTGACCCTCTTTTATACCATATAACTAATAAAATATAGATGGTTTAAAGATGTAAGTGTAAAAGATATAACATTTTAATGAGAGGAAAAGGTCAAAATACTACTCATCTCTGAATGGTGAAGGATTTTATAAACTTACATGTAATGATAAATATCACCAAGGCTGTACAATCACTGTGTTGAATGTCAATAGATTCAACAATTTCCAGATTGATGGATAGACCAGCTCTATTTTTTATTTACCTTAATGGTATATAAAGTAAGGTAAATAAAAGAGTTTATTTACCTAATATATTAAAGAAAAAGTCTCAGAGCAGTCTGGATACCTGGTAGACAGGGGCAATATTTTCTAGTATAAGTGGACATTCAAACTTTGAATTGAGCTTCCTTACCAAAGGATTCAGAGGTGCAAAAAATAATATGTGATTGAGTGAGAATTATGTATGCCTTCTGAAAGCTCAACTGTAATCTTCAGACTCTCTTTCTATATGTATATGTAAGTTTATATATTTGGAGTAGACCAACACGTAGCCTAATCTGGACATATTCTGCAAACCACTTCAACTGGCCACCAGTCCCCTTTAATCATTTGTGATCTTAGTGGAACAAGAACAGAGGTTGGTTTTCCAAAAGTCACAGGAAGTAATAGTAAGAAGCAGACCAGCTAAAGGATTTTACTACAGTAGACTAAGGTTAATATATACTGACTTCTGATTTTGCATTACTTTATTTGAAAAGCCCTTGACTTCTCCCTACACAAAAGAAATCACTTGTTGTGATGATGTTGTATACATTGTCCTGATTCCTCCTCTTCAGCAGTGCTTCCCGCAGTTGCCTGGAGTGTGGCTGCTTTGGGCCGACAGCTGAATCTCTCTGCTCAGAGTTAGGTCTCTGTCCTAGGGAAGTCTTCCTGGAGTGAGTGGTCAATACTAGGGTACCCAGACCCTCTCCATTGCCTCATTGCACAGACTACACTCAATGGCCATCTTGCCTTTCAGTCTTCCTGAGAATAGGCTGAGCCTCCGTTTTTACCCTTACCACAGTTTAACCTTGCCCTCTGCTCAGCTCTGCTTCCCTCACTCCCTCTTGAGTGTTGTTCCCAAGTAGTCCTGCAAAAATGTCTTGGACCAAGTGTCTGCTTCCAAGAGAATCTGACCTAGAACACTAGTCACATTTATGACAATGTTCCAAATCTTGTGGATATTGTCTCAGTTTTTGTTCATTCCTGGAACAGGAAGACAAACTATTGTTCTTTGTTGAACTCGTGGTGGTAATGTTTGAGAATCTTTGAAATGTACCTTGCTTGGTGTTTCAAATCATCCTTAGCTTCTTGTAAACCATTAACAGTGTTTTAAGGCATAAAACATGTAAGTCTAATCCTATATTTTCATCCTTCTCACTAAAATTGTCGGTATAACTATAATGAATATGATATGTCTACAATCCATTTTGAGATTTGGAGCATTTGTGTCGTGAAATCTCATGATGTACCTTCTTTAGTTAATGGAATAGGCAAGCGAGACAGCACTTATTTCACAAATGCCTGGAACAAAAATGCCAGTGTATAAAATAGCTTGGCAATTTATGGAAGATTTATTATTATTATTTTCCTGAGTTTTTAAATTTTATTGTGTAGACTGCTTAGGAAATATTCACCATAAGTTTCATATTAATTTTCCAGGAACTCAAACAGAGAGACACGCATAGATTACCTTATTAGAAGTTATATACTAAATTATAAATAAATGATAAAGACCATAAGTGCTCTTGCAGTTCGGAAGTATCATAGAGTGATTGGGAAGAGAGGAGACTAGGTCAGCAGTGAAAGATGTGGAAACAGCAAAGTAACAACATTCTGAGTAAGTTCAGTTAAGATGTGGGTAGGTTGTGAAGTGTTTCTAATATTAGTCTAAAGATATTGAACTTTATTTTTTAGGCAGTATGAAGTTTTAAAGGATTTAAGGGGTTGGTAGCATGTCAGGAATATATTATAGATAGAAAAGTGATATGGAAGATGGATTGGTAGAGGATGAGACTGGTGGAAGGACCCCTATTTAGGAAGCAATCTCAATAATGTAGGACAGAGGTCTACTTGATTATCATATTCTCAAATTAATTATTCATAAAGTTTACAAATATGTTTATTTTTTGCATCCTTTGGATTGATTCCTGGCGGTAACTATTGACATGGACTATCTCAAATTGTTGTGTAACTGACAAACCCCTTTTAGATAGCTAGATATTGGCCTATTTAGTCACAAAATTATCATTTTGGTTTGTAATGAATAGTGTTATCGATTAAAATCAAAACAATCGCTGAGGTCCACAGATTAAATATATTGCTTTCTCCTTATCTACATTGCCTCTAAGTTTGTCACAGGAAAAAAAATAAATTGTTTTGAAAGTATTTGTACTTTACAAAGCCATGTTGGTTCTACCTAGTACCTCATGCTTGTGCAGATAATTGAAAATTGAGTTGAACTCACAGGTGTACATCAATTTATAATTTATAATTATTGTCTATTTCTTATACAAAGACATAATTTTACTTCTACCATATTGAGGAACTTCTGTTAGCCTCCCTAACTTCCTTAATTCATTTAAAAAACATTATAATAGGTAGTAGCACTAGGAATAATATTATCTAAAAGTTGCACAAGTATCTGCACACACATATTGTGTGTGTAAAGAAATATATGTAGTATATACATAATAAAGATATTTTTATATATACATATATATATATATTTTCTTGAATTGCTTACAAATTGCTATTGTTGTTCAGTTGTTCATTTTAATTGAATTAGTATGGGTGATCCAGGTAGCTTGTGTTTAGAAATTGAGTGAATTGTTTGGTATCTCTCCATTTATATTTCACTTGTTTTAGATTCCATGAACTTCACATTTGCTAAGAATGTTCCCTGTTTTCCATGTGGTTGATGGAAATATATGATATCACCTTTGAAACTACCATGCCTATGATTCCAAAACAAGCTTGTATCTTCCTGATTCCTAGCTGTTTCACTTAATTGTAAATAAGAGATTATTGAAAGCTATTTGACTTATGTAAGCAAAGATCTATTTTATGTTAACAGAGTTTGATTAAGAGGTAGCTAAAAAGCAAAAATTTGAAATGTAAAGTTGGCAGAACTAAAAATACAGATAAATCAAGTTGATAATGTGATATAATTTTTGGATTTATCATTGAGAAATAATTCCTGTCATACTGAATTTGTTGTTAGTGCTGTGGGCTTGATTCCAACCCCTAGTGACCTTGTGTACAGCAGAGCAGAACCCTGCCCAGTCTCTTTGCCCCATCCTCTCACCTTCCGGTGCTGTAGCAGACAATGCTCCACTGCTATTCATATAGTTTTTATGGCCAGTTTTTTCCAAAGCGAGTGGTCAGTTCCTTCTTCCCAGTCTGTCTTAGTCTGGAGGCTCTGCTGAAACCTGTCCACCAAAGGTGACTCTGCTGGTATCTGAAATACTGGTGGCATAGCTTTCAGCATCACAGCAACCTGC